GACCAATTTTCTGATTGTCTGTTTCCATCAGCCCTGTTCTCCCATGTTCACAGAATTGGGCCACAATTCTCTCCTAGGGCAGTGTTTCTGAAAGTGAGGTTCTGGGACCAGCCACTTCAGCCACATTGAGAACTTGTTAGAAATAAAAGTTCTCAGGCCCCACCACAGACCGACCAAGTCAGGAATTCTAGCAGTTGAGCCTAGCCATCTGTGTTTTTGCAAAGCTTCCCAGTGATTCTGACGGCTTTCACATCTGAGAAGCATTGTCGCAGTGAATCATCCTCCAAACAGGACTGCAGCAGTGGCTTCCCCTTTATTCTGTAAGGCATTGCTTGCAGTTTTCCTGAAATGGAGTAACCTCACTCACTGCCTGAGTCTTGGCTCTCCTTCTGTCTATTCAGGGTCCTCAGAAGTGGAATACATAGCAGAGGTGGGTCAGAATGCCTATCTGCCCTGCTTCTACACTCCAGCCCCGCCAGGGAACCTCGTGCCCATATGCTGGGGCAAAGGAGCCTGTCCTGTGTTTGACTGTGGCAATGTGGTGCTCAGGACTGACAACAGGGATGTGAATGATCGGACATCCAGCAGATACTGGCTAAAGGGGGATTTCCACAAAGGAGATGTGTCCCTGACCATAGAGAATGTGACTCTAGCAGACAGTGGGGTCTACTGCTGCCGGATCCAAATCCCAGGCATAATGAATGATGAAAAACATAACCTGAAGTTGGTTGTCATCAAACCAGGTGGGTGGACCTTTGCATGCCTTCTTTATGAATAAGATTTATCTGTGGATCATATTAAAGGTACTGATTTTTCTCACCTCTGACTTCCCTAATTATAGCCCCTGGAGGTGGGCCACCAAGACCTAAAGTTTAACAGGCCCCATCAGTGATGCTCAGTGATATTTAACACTTTCCATCTGTTTTAAAACTCATGGGTGTGCCCAGGTGCTGTGGCTCACACCTCTAATCTCAGCACTTTGGGAGGCTGAGGCGGGAGGATCACAAGGTCAGGAATTCGAGACCAGCCTGGCCAACAGAGTGAAACCCTGTCTCTACTAAAAACACAAAAACTTAGCTGGGCATAGTGATAGGAGCCTGTAATTCTAGCTACTCGGAAGGCTGAAGCAGGAGAATCACTTGAACCTGGGAGTCGGAGGTTGCAGTAAGCCGAGATCTCGCCATTGCACTCCAGCCTGGGTGACAAGAGTGAAACTCTGTCTCAAAAAAAAAAAAAAAGAAAATCAAAAACTCATGGGTGGAATGTATAGATGGGAAGAAAGACCTAGATCAGTGGTTAGAGACCCTGACTCTCATTAGAATCACATAGAGCGTTTTTGAACAACTACAGATGCCAGGTACGGTGGCTCATGCCTATAATCCCAACACTTTGAGAGGCTGAAGCAGGAGGATCACTTGAGGCCAGGAGTTTGAGACCAGCCTGGCTGACATAGTGTGACTACCCCATCTCTTAAAAAGAAGAAGAAAAAGAACCCACTACCAAAACCCAGAGAAATCAGCATCTCTGGAGGTAGATCCTAAGCATTAGCTTTTTACAGAGTCTTCCTCAGGTGATTTTACCCCAGGTGCAGCCAGCACGATGAACTGCTGGGTTGTGCATGTACGCTGGGAGGTGAACAGACTTAAGATTTCTATAACATATACTTTGTGCCCAGATAGAGCTGAGTTTAAATCTAACTCTGCCTCTTACTAGCTATATAATCCTGAGCAAGTTATTGAAACGCTGTGACCTCCTCCTCTGTAAAATATGACAATAATACCTATCATGTGGGCCATTAGAAGGATTTTGTGTGATAATATTTTATGAAAAGCATTTATAAGTTGGGCATCCCAAACCTGAAATACACCAAAATCTGAAATGCTCCAAAATCCAAAACTTTTTGGATACTGATATGGCATTCAAAGGAAATGCTCATTGGAGCATTCTGCTCATTGGAGCGTAAGTATAGTGCAGATACTAAAAAATTTTAAAAAATGGCTGGGCGCAGTGGCTCATGCCTATAATCCCAGCACTTTGGGAGGCCAAGGTGGGCGGATCATCTGAGGTCGGGAGTTTGAGACCAGCCTGACCAACATGGAGAAACCCTGTCTGTACTAAAAATACAAAATTAGCTGGGTGTGGTGGCACATGCCTCTAATCCCAGCTACTCAGGAGGCTGAGGCAGGAGAATTGCTTGAATCCAGGAGGTGGAGGTTGCAGTGAGCCGAGATCATGCCGTTGCACTCCAACCTGGGTAACAAGAGCAAAACTCCGTTTAAAAAAAAAAAAAATCCAAAAAAATTCAAAATCTGAAACATTTCTGATTTCAAGCATTTCAGATAAGGGGTCTTCAACCTGTAATTATGACCATTTGCGTGGCTGTTAGTTCCACTGTTAATAATCAGAATGTCACAATGATGACTGCATCTTACCTTTGTCAAACATTTGAAGTGTGTGATACACTCTCAATGTAGGTATCTAGGCAGGTTTGGAAGCTGAGGCTGTATTTCTCTTTCTTTTTTTTTTTTTTTTTAGGGACGGAGTCTTGCTCTGTAGCCCGGGCTGGAGTGCAGTGGCCGGATCTCAGCTCACTGCAAGCTCCGCCTCCCGGGTTTGCGCCATTCTCCTGCCTCAGCCTCCGGAGTAGCTGGGACTACAGGCGCCCGCCACCTCGCCCGGCTAGTTTTTTGTATTTTTAGTAGAGACGGGGTTTCACCGTGTTAGCCAGGATGGTCTCGATCTCCTGACCTCGTGATCCGCCCGTCTCGGCCTCCCAAAGTGCTGGGATTACAGGCTGTATTTCTCTTTCTTAATGGTCTTTCGCATTTTTTTTCTGCTGCCCCTTTGATTCCCTGAAATAAGCTTTCTGCTCTCAGATAATTTTCATCCTTATGTTGGTTTCTGACATTAGCCAAGGTCACCCCTGCACCAACTCTGCAGAGAGACTTGACTTCAGCCTTTCCAAGGATGCTTACCACCGGGGAACATGGCCCAGGTAACTATGCATGGGGCAGAGGAGGGAGTCTTTAGCTGGCTCTGAATTCAGAGGATTTTGAATGTGGGAAAAAACATGAGAAAACAGTGTGAGAGTGGAGGCATGGATGTCTCTGTGCACCTGAAATAGTGTTTGAGAAGAGGGAAGTAGTGGAGACACACCTGTGCTGGGAAAAAGATGCTCTGGCTTAGGATTATTTTACTCAAATTTTAACTTTTAAAAAAAGTTAATAAACTTTATAGTGTTTAATTTTACTTAAATGTTAACTAAATTGGATGAAGTGCTCATTACTTTGTCCACATTTTCGGATTGACCCTGGACTGGCGATGTTTCATCATGAACTGGTGCCAGTCTGTGTTTGGGAACCGACACATTGGATTAGGTGATTTCTAGGATGCCTTTTAGCTAGAATAAAGCCCATCAGCTTCCCTGGATTCCAGCCTCAGAAGGAATAGTTAAATTCTTCATGTAATTCAGCAAGGATGTACTTAGGGTGCTCCAGATGAGAACATTGGGCAGAAAGTAGAAGTCAGGTCACATTGATCATGAAGGTTAATTTTAAGTCATTTCTTGTCAGTGTCCTGGTCTCTCCTAATCTCTCTGGAGCTCCATTTTTTTTTTCTTCTGTAAAATGAGGTTAATAGGTGAGTCCTACCTCATAATGTCATAAATCTCATAAATCACACCTTATGGACTTTAAATAAGAAAATGTCTAAAACGTGTAGCCCAATGTCTGACCACAATTTGTACTCAGTACATGTTAGCTGTTGTCATTAATATTATAAGATCAGGAGGCAGAATGAGATTGTGGTTAAACTACTTCAGTGAAAGGTGGAATGGGTTCTAATTTCAGCTATTCTTGCTAGCTCTGTGACCTCAGTCAAGTTGCTCAAATTCTCTGAAGCTCAGTTTGCTCATCTCTACAATGAGGATAATTCCAGTGCCCATGTCATGAGGTTGTTGTAATGTATGAACATGATAATGTATGTAAAATGCTCAGGCTAGTACCCGGCCCATAGAAAGCACTCAACTGTTTATTATTACTATAGTTACTAGTTTTAGCTCTCCAAAGTTTCAGTCTTTGGTTAGTCTTTAGTGATTGGTAGCCAACATCTTTTATGCAATTAGAGAGGAAACTATGGTGGGGACAGATGATCATCCACATTGTGGGTTAATGAAGTCATACCAGATACTTATTGTATGCCACTGTTATATTTTAAAGAATCCTACAACCATAGTCCTAGAAGGGATTTCAAGGGTCATTTAGTCTCACTTTCCCATCCTGTGCTTCAGTACTTTTTTTTTTTTTTTT